TTTCTATAAAGTTGCAACCTTAAACAATCCAATTAAAGCGCACCTTAAAATTTTATCATAACATTTAATTTTGTTGGAAAAAATCTTAGTATTATCTTAAAATCTATTTTCATACCTAACTAGAAAATTTTAAATTCCAAAAATAGTTAAAATTAAGTAGATCTATAAATATATGAAAATCTTGAAAATGGACGGTCTAGATAATGTGTTAAAAGATGCACTATTTCCGGGACTCAAAAACTTTTTTTTTTCATAGTCATACATCTCGATGTCGAGATGATCGATTAGAGTGTTTTTTCAACATTAAAACAACATTTGCGATATATTTTTGAGGTGCATCTGTGATTCTAAATTTTAAGGTTCCAACCTTATGTAAACTTTCCCCATATATATATATGCTCTACCACTCCCCAAAAAAACCAAAATAAAATGAATACAGATGCTCAAATATGCTTACACAATACATACTCTCAACATGTCAGTGTTTTATTGATATGCTTACTTACACATTTTTTTCAACAATTAACCTTCGAACATACTTAAAAATCATATGCATCAAGTTAGGTGGGATTGCAACAAAAGTATCAGCCAACAAACATAACTTGGACCATCAGACAATAATGCATATACAAGTGACAATGATCCTTATCCAAACAGTCCCATCTTGTATGTAACTTACCTCCAGGAATCTTCTGAAATAATGGTACAAAGATAACACTCGCCAGCAATAACCACAGCATGTCAAAAAGGGAGGCTTCCTCCTCATTTATCTAGAAAGAGACGAAATATGTAAAGATCTCCTCAACGTTCCCATGAAAAGCAACAAATAGTAATCAACTTGGAAAGATAACCATAGGATAGTTATCATGTCCACGACAATGCCATTTTTCAAATCAGCTGAAATATAATCTCTCAGACAAGAAACCCAGAAAAAACATCACCTCTTGGTGTGGTAGCTTCTCTAATATCTTCTTAAACCGCTTAGGAATTCTTCGTAACTCCCGTACTAAAGGCTTTGCACTGGAGGTGACTTCTTCAATGCCAGTGACAATATCCGATTGCTGAATTATTGGAGCACCTTTTTCCAAACGATTACTAAGAAAAATGGTCCTGTAACAGTGAAAATCACAGAGAGAAGGTTCTTATCCATCAAATATGGGAAGTGTCACATCCAACACAGTAACGGTTATTTTGAGAAAGAGGATCATAAATGTAAGGAATTTATAAACTCGACCGTTCATAATTAGCAACCTCAGAAAGTAATGAACAACGTTAGAAGTCAAGCAACAAGGCCTTATATGAAACATAATGCTGAGTAGAAACAGGTTCCAATGCAGGCAAGCTCAGAGGTGAGGATCAATATTATATTGATACCAAGTAAAACTCGATTTTAAATGCAAATGCAAATCATGAAACAAATTACATTATGGATCAGATAAGGCAAAAGAGCTGCCACCGAGCAACTACCTTCAGCCCTGTGCCAGGGATATGGTATGTGAACTAAAAGACAGAAAGTTAACTTCCTTTCTTTGAAGAAGGTGAATGGCCGAGTCAATAAAGAAAGGATGAAACACACGACTTGCTCAATTTGAGTTGAATAGGGTGAGTTAGGAGCAAACTTGCAGTGTTTTATTACGAAACTTTGAAAAATATCAATGTCCCACTATGTCCACCAAAAGATAATTTCCTAAAAAAGATTTAAAAAGGAAAAACAAAACTTCCTCAAAGGTTCCCAAAGGCTTCCCATACACAGAGATGTCAAACATCAGACAGAACCCCAAAGGTATGAACCTAAACTTGGATGACCTGAAAATCATCTTTTAGTGGATCAAACTCGAGAAGTATCATATAGTTTCTAGTGACCAGGTTCGATACTTGGGCACTTCATATTTTTTGTTAGTTGATTGCGGGTTTCGAACCTGCAAGCAGAGCTCCATACCATGAGTTCACAGGACCGAACCAGATGGTCACTTCTTGAATGCATGTTAACAATGTATTATGTTGTGCTTGAGAATGGATGTCAATAAATATTTATTTTCACTCTAACATTAAGAAAAAAAACACTTGGTGATGATTGCATCTGGTGTGCATGAATGATCCAAATACAATCATTTTATAGGTTAGTCCAGCAATGGTTGAATTTTATTTTATTTTTTCAAAGGAAGTTCACTAAGCAATGATTGCAATTTATCCTTACAAAATTATATGCAATATTTCAAGAACTTTCATCAATGAGAAATACAAGATACTGATAATGTTGTAATGACACTCATGTAGCCACTTCTCATTTTCATGATTCTAATAATGTTGTTGCCATCTTGTAAGATCATTTTTATTATCTACAGTACCTAAACAATATGAGGCCCAAGATGCTATTCCATAATTAACTAATAAAACAAGACTATAACATTCTCAATCAAGAATTGTGTGCTTACCCAGCACCAAGAAACAAGATCCCAAATACCAACTTGGGCAGTTGCTTCCTAGCAGTAATAACCACCTCTCGAAAAACTGCTCCAGGCGTAAACTCCTCCCCATCTTCCTTAGAGGAGAAGAATGACGCAGAAAAGAATCGAGAAGACTTCTTCAGTAATGTTTTGGGGGCAATGGAAGGAGCACTGTCTTTGGCTGTTTCCTGTTTCTTTGACTGCAAAGAAACCTTCGATTTCTCGGATTCATTTTCAGCTTCTCTCAGGCCATCTATCTCCACCTTGATGTTGTCCTGACCATTTAATTTTTCTGACAGTTCCAACTGTTCAGCCATTGCCACACTTGATTCATGCACTTCAGAAGGGCGACTACTGAGCAGAGCATCCTCAGCTCGACTTGTTTCATCACCACTGGAGCTAGAGTCTTCACTAACTCCTTGAGTAATTCTTTCTTTCTCCATCAACACTTCATCATTCAACAAATCAACATCAGATGGATCAGAGGACTCGGCAATGGCAGTTTGGCCATTACCAATGACAAGTTTTTCAGCTTTTTGTAAAGCAATCTCAGCATCACTAACATGCTGAGTAGCTTCAACCTCAATAGCGACAGCTTGCTCAGCTAGATGCATTATGTTGGCAACATCCTCCTCAGCTTGAGCAGCGTTTTCTTGTGCATCTTCTGCAAATTCGCTCAAACGATCCACTTCCTTTTGCAGGTCCATTTTCCTGCTTTGTATACGTCGAAGCTCAGCCTCACAACATGCAAGAGTGGCATGACAGCCCTTTATCTCATCTTTCGCGATTAAGAGAGCTAGTTCCTCAGGTCTGGTTTCTTGCACAATATCACCAGGTTCATATAGTTTTTCATCAGTATGTTCATGAGATTTCACTGAGCCATCTTCTGAATCCTTAAATTCGAGTTTTGGGTCTTGAATTTGGGCCTGGTTTAAAGCTTCCGCAGCCACTTTTAGTCGTGCTTCAGCCATGGATAGAGCCATTGTTGCTCTCTGAACTGCTTCTTTCGCAGCTGCTTCCTCACCCAGCATCTCTTCAACCATAGTAGAAGACACTCCAACCTCATCCCAAGCACGAACAGCCTCATCTTTCAAGGCAATAGCAGTCTCTGATATCCTTTGGGCTTTTTCCTCAAATGCAGTGCTATTAAGTCTTGCAACTTCCAGTTCAGTTAGAGCTTTTTGAAGCAACTCCTTCAAGTCCTCCATACTGGGTGATTCAGCCAACATGGTTCTTTCTTTGTTGGCTTTTTCCTCTGAACTTTCAGCCGATGATGAAAAATTATCAAATGGATCTTCCGAAAATTGGACCATGTCATCTCTATTTTTGACATTTGGTCTTGAATCTGATTCTATATTACCCGTCTCTATGGCATTATCCCCACCTTCAACATACGCTAAAGAATCTTTACCAGCGTGGCCATTAGATTGACATTGAGCACACATTTGCCGACCCTTTAAAGTTCTTAACAAGTTCTCTGAACTAAGGAAAAGACTACTTGAATTTGAATTCAAAGAGTGGGGACATAACCCATGACCACAAGTACTCATTTTTACAATAGAATTCGCTCCACCTGAATTACTCTTACAATTTCTAAAGTATCTCTCAGGGAAGAACACACAACAATGTGATCCTCTAAAAGAGCGCAAACAACAATCCATATCCTTCTTAGGTTTCCTCATAAAGTATGCCTTGTTAAATGCAGCAGAAACTCTCTGTTTTGCAAACACAGAACCATTCTTCTTCCTTTGTGTTAGTCTTGAACTGAAACAAAACGAATCCAATCTAGAAGAATCTGAACCAGGAGAACATTTAGTTGAAGACATATGCATGAAACTATGTGAAATCTCCATTATTTCCAGCTTTTTCAGTCAAAGAAATGCCCTATACCAACCAAGTTGCTAAGCTCAAAATCAAATAACCCAGCATGATTGCCACAGTCCAATCATGTTACAAGAATATTTCACTCTACACATTATGATACTCTATAGTCTACATGCAATGCTCCATTCTCACTGTAAACATTTCTCTTTTCAACTATTGGTTTGATAAGCTAAATATCTCCAAATTTATCAAGGATTTCCAGTGAAAATCCAGAAAAACCAAGAAATAATGCAGCTATCAACTGCTTAATCAGAGACTGAAAATAACGACTCCAAGAATGAAATATCACATCCCTGTAAATACTTTCATTTCAATAAACTACAAACCCAATCAAAACTAATAGATGAATAATGCACACCAATTCAGAACCTGATGGATCACTTCCCTGCCATTCAACGACAGGTGAAGCAGAAAAACCCTAGAAACAATAATGAAGAGCACGATTACGACATAAAAAATCAGAGCGCAAAAGTCTTGGTGGTAGCAGCACGTGAGCCCCAGCCGAGGTCTAGGCTTCTGTTATCACCAAACACCTTAAAAAACCAGTAATGATGCCACCCTCAAAAACCACCCACTGAACTACCAAAGAACAATCACAGCTCACGAAACTGCGTCCCGTACATTTCAACAACATGAAATACACACACCAGGCAACATTACCATTCAGAGCCCTAGAAAACCTATCAATCCATGTATGAGAGAATCGATATCCTAGTCGTATCACAAGCTCTAAAATCGTAATGGATGGAGGAATTAAGCGCCTCAAATTCAAATGCTGAGACCTGCTACCTCGCCGTAAAACACTAAAATCAGAATTCGATGACTTCAACGTATGAAGAAGCCATTAAAGTGAGAGAGTTGCGGGTTGGATTGAAGAAATGAAGTGACTACGCAAAACCCTAGAAATTCGGGTCCGCTTCCCTCTCTCTCTAAACTCTCTGAGAGATGGCCGAAAAATGACAAAAAAATAGGTATACAGTCACTCTGGCACAAGGGCGGCCAAATAAAAAATAATTAAATTAAACCAGGCACGAGTGTGGCCGAATAAAAAAGGAAAAAGTTTATGTAGAGGCTTTAACCAATCAAATTTGAGCCTACATTTAAATTTTCAGAAGAGGTTGTTTTGATGCTCAAATATCATCAAATTCATCATCTCGACATTAAAACGCAGACATAAAAATAATAATAATAATTTTAAGTTTTGAAAATAGTGTATTTTGTAATGCATTTTTGGATCATCAATTTTTAAAATTTTGTCAATCTATACTATTGTTTAAGCTTTAAATTTTATAAATAAATACGAAAATATATTTTAAGCTATACAAAGATTTCCAATATTTAAAACCATGTTTCTATATATTATTTGAAGGTAGGCTCTAATTTGATTGGTTAAAGCCTAGGCTCTATACAAACGGCAGCCAATAAAAAAAGAGAAAATGTTATATAGAGCCAGGCTCTCAACAATCAAATTAGAGCTTACCTCAAAATTTTCAATAAAAGTAGTTGTTTTGATGCCGGGATATCTTCAAATTGATCATTTCGAGATGCATGGACATGAGAAAATAATAGATTTCAAGTCTTAGAAATAGTGTATTTTCATTGACCATTAATTTTCAAGATTTTCAAAATTTCATAGATCTGTCGATCTACACTCTGAAAAGTATATACTATCATAAAGATTTCCAATATTGAAACCGCATTTCTTGACACTATTTGAAAATAGGCTCTAATTTGATTGTTTAGAGCCTAGGCTCTATACAAACCTCACCTAATAAAAAATAATGGAAAATAGTTTGATAGGCCAACATTCCTATCAAAATAAGTAAATCCTCACTTTATAACTCGTCGAAAATTGAAATTCAAGTACTAGAAACCCTTTTTTTGTCAACCATCTTGGCTTGAACATTATGGTTGTGAATAAAAAAAAGATTTCAAGATTTAAAATATATGGTTATTGTAACAAATTATCTAGACCGTCCATTTCACCCTAAAACTAAGTGTTCATAGATTTGCAAGATCTATACCATTTTTTTATTTTTAAATTTCAATGACGCTGTTGGAAAGTGATTTTAGAGCCATCATGGAGACTTGTGTTGCCAAAAGTGCTTTTTGGACAAGGATTTAAGGTGAGGCTTTATTTTGTTTTTATAAAGCCTAGACCTTATAGAAAGCTCATCTAAAAATAATTAAATTAAACTAAATACGGTTTATGTTTGTAGGAGCATGTAGAAATGAATCCCTTCTTAAATATCTATTTTTCACATGGATTTTTTACCCAATTTTTAAGTACATATAATTTCTAACATGGAGATTATAAATATGAATAAATAAATTAAAAACAAAAATAATAATTTTACTAATAAAACATTTTGACCTTTAATTTCAAAAGTATTTAGATAGACCACCCATTTGCATCCATCTTTAAGATGGATTTTTTATATCTCAGGGGACGTAAATGTAGAAACACATGTGACGCATGGAATAATTTTTCTTTTATCAATATCATTTTTTTTTTGTTTTAAGATGGGATTTATAAAAGACACTCGACTCAAACTATACATATACCGGCCCCACTTAAACCTATCTTAAAAATAGATTGTTAATCCATTTTAAGGATTCATGATATATATTAAGATGATCATGAATACAACCAAAAAAAAAAAGAGTTAAATATTTAAAATATAATTTTTTAGAAAAATTTCTATATCGTCTAAGTTCATTTTAAGTCCATTTTAGAGATACATATTGGTAAGTCAGCGACCCACTGACTCGTGGACAACTTTCCTTATCAAAATTGCCATAAGGTAAAAAAATATTTGACATTTTATAATTCATATTGCCTTATTTAATTTCAAAAAGCCCATCAAAAGATATATCATCATGAGTTAGAATAGTTGTAAGCATGTCAAATAATAAATAGTACATCTTTTGTGGATATTATAATAAATTTCAATAAAAATTAACTAGAAAGCCATGGTCTTTTAAGAAGGACAAATAAGGTAACGCTTTCCATGACAGGAGTATATGAATTTGGCAAATTATAGTTAAGTGACACCTTTTTTAACCACTAGATGTTGGATTAGATGATTGACAAGGCTCCACGGGTGTAGTAGAAAATAGAAGTGCTAAGCATTGTATAATGGAAAAAGGACATGCATCGCAAAGATACTTGAATACTAAAAGGTAGGAGTACATGTTGGTTTTGTTTAGTGTATAACTAATATGTGATATTATTGTCGGTTCACTTTTAGTCTCTTATTAAGATATCGTACTAATAACACTTTTATAACATGATATCAAGTAATTATTTCTGAAAAGCTTCAGGGTAAATATAATACGATTCATTTATGACCACAAAAACTTCGTAGCCAAATCAAGCTACCACCATCTGATCATTGGATGGACGAGGTTGGAAACAAATTGTTTGCGCATATTATGCTCCCACAAGAGCATGATATACTCAAACCCCACATCCACTTATTCACCCAGAAAAAACCCCACATGCTCAAAATCATGCGCATATTAACTCAAAATCAAATGATTTTGAGCATGTATAGCTCATGTATAGCTCAGTTTGAGTATATATAGCTCATTTTGTTCATTTTTCTAGGTGAATAAGTGGATGTGGGGTTTGCGCATATTATGCTCCTACAAAAACATTTGTACACAATTGATGACATATCTCTACGCACCCAATTTTACATTTAGTATTCGATAATAATTGTGACTTTCTTGTACAAAAAGTAAATAGTCTCATTGTATACTTTTCTTTTGAAAATATTATTTTAATTTTAAAACAAAATCAATAAACAACTAATAAGAAATGAGATTGCCATGTATACTATTATCAATGCAAACCTTTGTTATTCATGTACTTTTCAAAGACTATTAATCAGTTACCAATCAACATTGTTAGATTTTTTTAAAGAAAATGTAGAAACAATAGACTCAAAATATGAAATATATTACAAAAAAAAAAAACTTGAATATTGTTAAATCCATTCAATTGGTTAAAACTAGTTTATTGAATCAGCTAAAATTGGTCAAACTTCACTATTGCCTTCCAACTACCACACTGTTGCAGTCCAGGGGGATCATCTTGGTATCCATCTGCAGCTTTTGTTGGAATAGTGATGATAGCTTTAACCACCTTTGGCTTCAGTGTGATATTTCACAAGGTATTGGAAAATCCATTGCATGAAGGTGTGGCAAAAATGTTTATGTGAGAACAATCTATTGCATTCATGTTCAAGAAATGGATTGCATTCCATTTCATCTCCGAGGGGCTCCAGAATGTGTGGCACTCTTTCTATATCTCTATGATTTGATTTTCATGGGGGGAATGCAATAACCAAACTTTTAGAGCCAGAACCACTAAACAAGAGAACCTTCTTGGCCAGATTACTTGCCATGTGAGAGACTCGGTTGATGCTAAGACTCGGTCTTTCCACCTCTCAAAAGGGTGATTGTACATAATCTCTCCATTTAATGACACCAGCAGACGATAGAGGCTACTGTCCTGATCTCTTAGCCCATGTCACCGCCTCGACATTTTAAGCTAAATGTCGATGGGATCCTTTTTTGAAATCCAAGTTTGGCAGGAAGCAGTAGTATTGTAAGGGATGATAGTGATCATTTTAATGCTGCTTTTGCCAATCTACTGGGGATTGCATCAAACAACTATGCCGAGTTTCATGCTTTGGAGGCAGGGGTGGATTTGGCAATGCGGCTGCAATGTTTCCTTTTTCAAATCGAAAGTGACTTCGCTCTATGGGCAATCCATGGTAGCCAAATGCCAATACAGACTTTTTTCAAATGGTGATAATTGGTTGATTTTACAAATCTTTCGTGAAGCTAATATGGTAGACGATATTCTTGCAAATAAGGCTACTGCTTAATCTGCAGCTATCATTTGGCTCTTCAAACTTTCAGACTTTCTTTGTTTTTGCTTTATGATATTGCACGGATACCCAATGATAGGGTTATATCTTTATGAGCTTGTACATCTTTCTTTTTTATATTAATGAAAATACGTAAGGGGCAATCTCCCCCATTAATTTACCCAATTTTTTTTTTGTCCAAATATTGGATTTAATTCCAATTTACTCTAGATTAGCCTGACTAAAATATTGGTGAACAATCCAACCGGTTGGACCAGCAAGTCCATCACAGTTTTCATAACAATGGTTACAACTACAAATGAGATTGATGGCCATCTTTAATTTCTTAGTTTTTAGGTAGGAAATACCAATTTTATCTTTGGGAATATTGCCATTTTATCCACTTTTATAAGCCACTGTTTTTTCCCATGTTAACAAATTGGGACTCTTTTATTTGCAGCCAAGTTTTTGTCAACATCCTAGTTTTGTCATTTTTCCAGGATTATTGAGGCTTTTGTGCTCTTAATATTATTTATTGAGATGAGCATATTTGTAGAATATACGGTATCTGTTATGGACCAAGCACAAAAAAATTGGTATCTATTTTAAATGCTTGAAATTTTTAAAAATCTTCATTTTCCAAAACATGGCCCCTAAATTTAGTAAATTTATCTTGATAGCTTTAAGATCCCTACTATGTATCGCTGCCTAAGTGTTGTAATAATCTATTTGAGATGAATTTGATTTATATTTTGTAAAGAAACCTAATTTTGTAAATGAAAACGTGACTCTAAGACAATTGAGAAGTAGTAAGAAATAAAATACGACAAAGGATACATAGGAATATAAAAAAAGTAGTAAGAAATAAAATATGACAAAAGGATGCACAGGAATATAAAAAAAAAAATAGGGGCGTTGCGAGAATCGAACTCGCGACCTCTTGCACCCAAAGCAAGAATCATACCACTAGACCAAACGCCCACTTGACAATTGAACTCGTATACATATTTTATATATCAATATCAAACTGGTGGGGAGAATATTGTGGAATGCTTATAGTGCTCATGAGGGAGCATAGTGTACACCTGCTTCTTCCGGCAAAATACTT